TGGCCATAGGAGGAATCAGCGGAGAAAAACGAGTCGGGGGTATGAAATTTACCTCGATCGGCGGTCGGAAATTTCCCCGGTGCGGCGGCGGGTGGCGGCGGTCGGCCTCTGGTTCGTCTTCTCCGGCGAGCGGCGGGTGGCTAGGGTTTGTGGTCTGGTGTGGGGGTTCTATTTATAACCCCTTGCCTTTTGATCACAGCCGTTCATTTCGTTTTAATCTGGGCCGTTCATTTTTGATTGAATCTGGGCCGTCCGATCGCGCGATTGATCTGGGCCGTCGGATCGCACCCACGCGGATCGCCAACGTGGCTCCTCTCGGAGTGACGCGATCTTGCCACGTGGCAGGCCACGGTTGGCCGGGACTGCTGACCGGGCCTGCTGACGTGGCTGCTGACGTGGCCCCTTTTTTTTTTTTTTCCCTCCTTTCCGGGTGCTACAATACAAATGTCATACACCATATAAATATCAAAACTATATAAATGTCATAAAATACACATAATGTAATCAACCCACATATCAGCTGCTATTGCATCTTCAATTGCTTCGTATTTTCTCATTTCTTCAGTATTATCCCTAAAGTTACATATATTTCGTTTGTTTAGAGAAACATTTCGAAGTTCTTCATCAACCTTTTGAAGAAGTTTATTAGTTTGATCATCTCCCTATAAATAATTACGCAAAATGTAACAAGCAAATATAATGATATTAACAGTCTTAATCCGATAATGAGGTTCAGTCGAGGTTTGGATAATTGAAAAATATTTTTTTTAGAACTCCAAAAGTACGTTTAATCCCATTACCAAAGAAGCATGTCATAGATTAAATAGTCACGAGCATTACATGGTGGATTCCTAGAGTATTCACGCAGATGGTAGCATTCTCCTCTATATGGTATAATTAGTCCGCCCCGCAACATGAACCCAACATCTATAAGGTAAAACTTATCTATAAGTAATGAATAAATTAAGTTATAACATTTTTCTTCAAAAGTATAAATTACATATTAAAGTTAAATATATTTTAATTACCTTTGAGAATTAGTAGAGGATCATCAACTCTGTTTAACACATCTTTTATTATTCTTGAATCTGATGTAGTCCCCTCCCACCCAACTAAAACGTATGAAAATTCAAATCAAATGTACAAGCTGCTAACAGGTTTTGAGTGGAAAAATCTTTCCTCCCGTGAAACCTTTTCTAGACATCTTGAAATTAATTATTAACTAATTAACTAAACATGCACTCATATTAAAAGAAGTAATTAAACGTATATAACTTGTATATATACCTTAAAAATGAAAAGAATTTGGGATTATTAGCTACTTGTGATCCAGTTAGCTGATTAATAAATTTATCGGCCATATGTACTATAAATCATAGTATATTGTGAAAATGACGACTTGTCATCTCTCCGGATCGTCGAAAAACTCCAGATGACTCGATTTCTTAATTTTGTCTTAATAAGTAAAATGTTTTAAGTATTTGTTCCTCTATAGTTGCACGAATGGTATACCTAAGTCTACTATCTATAACTAGTAAATGACATAAATTCATAAAAGATGAAGTTTTCATCCTAATTATATGACAACAAAACTCACTTGATAACAAATTTTGCATAAGTTTATCTCAAGCTTTCTCTCTCTCTAGTCTTAATTCATGAGTAAGCTTATAATTTATATCGCGTCTTCTACGAACTACTAGCCCATGAAATATAATAAACTAACATACTAAAATAACTACACGTGTTAAAATATCTATATTTTTTATCTAATGTGTGAACAGAAACGATATTAAATGCTTGAAACAAAAAGAAATAATGAGTATAATTATTTCAAATCAAAGTAAGTCAAAGCATACATTTTAATTAATATTCTGACTACCCGAATCTCCATCATGAAAGCTTCTTATGAGTTCGAGATGGGTAGATCAGTCACCTGTAACAACTAGGTGTTATCTAATGAATGTGACATCAAACAAGAAAATATATACAAAAATTAGGTACTGTTTAATTTTAAAAGTTTTTTCCATCTTGAATTTCTAAGAAAATCAAAGAAATTGAAAGGAAACCGCTTGCCATGTTTTCGCTTCTGTCAAGCCAAAAACAGTATTCAGAAAATTAAAAAAAAAAAATTTCTTATGAAAATTAAAAATTTCCTTTGATGAAGCAGTCAAATAGCTTCTCAAAATATCGTAAGGACAAGCCAGCTGGTGGCATCCAAGAATAAGGAAAGTTAATCCTTCTCCATATTTACAGCATCCACCAAAATTAATTAATGGCGCAGATGTTATACCGAGTAAACAACTATCAGACACAAGCATAAACCTCAAAAACCCATCATGGTCTTCTAAGTACAGTATTAACAATAATAATATAAAAAATCAAATAAATAATTCATCAGCGAAATGATACTTTACAAATGAGGAGTCGTCACTGACATTCAAAAAGCCATCATGATCTAGTACATATATATATAAACAAAAAAAGCTTAACTTTGGAACAAATCAAGATTTTTTTTATCGAATTCATTGAAAAAATTCACATCTACTTCACTAGAAAATAGTGAAAATCTCATATAAAATGACAAAAGTTGAGCCCAAATAAAAGTTCAAGTGGAAATCAAATCAAATCAAATCAAATGGGCATAAGAGGGACTGATTCATGTCTTCAGTTAGCTCTCAAGTTGAGTTAGAAACCGAGGTTCTTTTCAACAAAAATAAGTCAGACATATCTATTGTTAAGTGTAGGATAATTTTAACACACTTTTACCTGTTTGGAAAATAAATTTCCGGTAATATTTCTTTAACCTTATTCTCTGTTAACAAAGTTCACATAACTCTCAACTAAGTCTATGACTTGACTCTTACCCTACACATCTCTTGACAAGTTTCATCCCTCTGCCAACATGCTCAATTCTGTTTTTTGTTTCCCAAATGATCACCCTTAATCTCGTTAATTGCCCACCTGGTTTATCATTCCCAAGCAGTTTCCTAAAATAAGACAGAATATGTTCTTCTCACATACCAGATTTTCTCCTCATTCATTCGGCCCCTGATTTCCCTTATACCCGATTAACAACTTCCTCATCTGCAAGTTATAGCTTCCTTAATTATTGGCTTCACAACTCCATTTACCTACAACTCCCTCTTCTATTTCTCTCACCCAGATTCTGCTTATCCCTTGTTCATATCAGAAACAATATTAATTTACAGATTATATGTAAGAAAACCCAACTCAACTAAATGGTTTGATTTGTTTTGTCTTTCTTCTTTTTTGTTCAAACCCTTATATTGATTTACAAAGTCAAAAGAGAGCAAGCCAAAAATCAGCCCTAATCTTTAAGAATTTCCAGCATATGAAAAAAAAAAAAAAAAAGAACAAACCAGGAGAACAAAAAAAGTCAAACAGAAAGCATATGAACTTGCAAAAACAACACTAGGTAACAACTCCTCTTCCACCAAAGATTCAAGCTTTGAAAAAAGAAAAAAATAAACAGAGGGAGTTTACCATAACCAAGGATAACATTGTTCAGAGAAGAGAAAATGACACAAGCAAAAATATAGTTCCTGGTATTTCTACTCCTATCCTCTTGATGCTGATGATGACTCCCATCATCGCAATCCTCTACAACCTCAGAATCCATTCTCCTGTACTTGTTCTTCTTCCCCAAAGAAACAACAGACATATCCATTTCTCCATTCCATTTTGTTGGAAACCAACCAGACCCATCTCTTACAACTCTTTTCTGGATTAAAAAAAATAGAGAACCAAGACGGACCCAGATGATGTTTGGCCTTTTTTTTACCAGCAGAAAACTATATGTCAGTCGTGGAGGATTTGGGGTTTTTTTTATATTAATTCATTAAGCAAGTATTAAACTAACACAACCGTTCAACGATCCAATTATAGGCCATACAGATTCCGCAATTATTGTTATCAGTAAATTGCCACACAATACATACACACCTCACGACCCAATAACAGGCCACACACAACCCTCACCAGAGCCCATCATTCCTGCAGGTACGTACACAAATGATCACAGACAATGCATATGCAAAAACATAGATTTATTATGCTCAACATGACCACCGAGTGGCCACTCCCCACATTTCTTTGCTTCAGTTCGTCAGCACCATGTTTATTTCTAATCATTGCCCTTTTTCTTATTTTATCCCTTTTCTTCCCCACCTATCCTCGTGTGTATTCTTTCTGCCATTCAACTTCCCTATTTTTTTCGCATATTTACAAATCATTCTGTTTGGAATCCCTTTACTCCCTTCTCTACATTACACTGGATGTTCATGGAAAAATAAAAGCTTCAAGGATGATCAGTATCAAAAGCATAGTAAGTTCGTACAAACAATTTCTGAAATATTTTTTCAAAGATAAGGATTTCAGAATTGCTAATGCTAGATTTTATCTTCTTTCTCATAAAAAGCTCCATAGTAATACAATCATAAAAAAAATAAAATATGAATCAAGAAAAAGATTGGAAGGTAAAGATAGAAAGAAATTGACGTTGAAAAAATAAAAAAATGTATAAAAATATTTACCGATCGAAAAAGTGAAGAACGCAAATCAGAAGTAGAATCAAGAATCTAATATTTAAAAACAATTAAAAAAGAAGAACAAATAGATATAGATTAAAAAATAGAATTTTTAATTTATGAAAATAAAAATAGAATTAATTATATTATATGACGGTATAAGTAAAAATAATCATAATTTATTAATCACATATTATTAATTCGATAGTTTAAAAATTTATTTTAAATTTATTGATTAAGTACTGTTTGTTATTATTAGAAATTGAAACAAATATTATTTTCTTACAAAGCATCATGCATTGAACATCATCCAAACAAAATGTTAGTTTTGTTGGGTTCGGGGGAAGCAATCGACCCACTCGTATTTATTGGCCTATTTTATTTTTACTTTTTTAAAATTATTTTTTAGTAGAATATAATATATAAAAAATTTAGTGTGTATAAGATTCAAAATTGATTTTCTACCAGCATTGGAAGAATGCAAGCAATTTGGCCCTTCCTTCAAGCAGCCATCTGAACTCTTCTCCTACAGCCTCAGGCAGTCGCCATTCTTCAATTCAACAAGCTGACTTCTGGATAGCCTCAAGCCCGGTTTTCTTCAAGCTGACCCTTCTCCTACATAGCCTCAAGAAGTCGTGATTCAGAACCAGTACCAGCTCGCTTCCGTTGCTCAACCTCCACAGCTGCGATTTCTCTTCATTGCGCCCATCATTCCTCTGAAGACTCGGTAAGTAATTTTTATTTTTAAAACATTTCTGAACTTTTAGGGTTTAAGTTGAGTTCATTAAATTTTCAGGTTCATTAAGTTTTTAGTTCTTTGCAATTATGGTATTTTAGGGGTGTATTTTGCGTTGGAAAATTAGAGCAGCTAGTCTGTCTTGAAGGCTTCTGGTTCTGCTGGCTGGTCTCAAGATCTGCAGATGCTTTCGGGAAGAAGAGGCGGAGGTCTAACTATACGCTCTATATGATATGCGTAGACATCGACAATTAACATTGCCTTACCTTAAGAGATCGAAATCACTACTGATTTTAGGCACCCGTTGTATGCGTTCTTTTATCATATTTAGTTCCATTTTAGGTTCTTAAAATTAGTTTCAAGAAATCAGATGGCTGCTAGAAGGAAGGGTCAATTTCCTGCAGATAGTCAGCCTTGCTGCGGATTTTTTTTTCCTTCCTTCTTTGTGTTCACGTTTTTTGTGTTTCATTGTAATTGTTTTAAATATTTTTAATGTCTTTTTTTTTTTCTTTTTTAAGTAGAAGAGCGACCTTATAATTTGGTAATGACATGACATGCAAGGTGGTCATTTTTGATGACTTGACAGGTGGGTCACCGATGATTAAGGAGGCTTAAGGGAAGTTCTTGACTAAATGCAATTATAGACATTGAGTGGTCAATTGAATAGAACAAAATTTTGAGTTTTAAAATGGAGAAATGTGCAGATGTTGGACCTTTGAGAGTACGTTTAGCCTAAAGTTTGGTATCTCTTTGTGTTTATAGTATTGGAATGTATCCTAAGTTACTTCCTAAACATGTAGCCTCTGTCGTAAAATACCAGAAAGATCCTCTAAAAGCGCTTAAAATGTTCGATTCTGTGAAAGAGGAAAGTGGATTCAAGCATACGATTTTAACATATAAATGTATGATTGAGAAGCTTGGGTTTCATGGTGAATTTGAGGCCATGGAGCAAGTTCTCATGGAGATGAGAAGGAATATTGATAACAGTTTGCTAGAAAGAGTGTATATTGGAGCAATGAGAAATTATGGAAGGAAGGGGAAGGTTCAAGAAGC